AACATGGTTTCATAAAATCTATTAATGTATGCAAGTTACCTCTTGTGACTTTGCCTTTGATAACATATGTTCACTTTTGAGGAGTAAGAAAACTAAAATGACATAAGATAATAAGAATGCTGAAGAAATAAAAATGTAAGTATTTAAGACAAAGCCAAGTGTCACAATTATACCGCAAAGAATAGCAATCAGTCAGACTCTACTTACTGTCAAATTTTGTTAAGGTCAATCTCAATATAGAAAAAAGTTATATTTAACATACCTCACAGGCTTAGCATAATAAAGGAAAGCATAGTTCCCCAGATTTTATACTCTTCACCAGTGTATCAAGTACATAACTATGACATATGCTTTAATCTCACATTTTCTTGATACTTACCCCCTTAATTACATATCCAAACTCCATAACGATTTTAATATTCCTCTGGGTTAGCCTTTTTTCTTGAGTGTTTTATGTGTGCTACTACTTTAATCCTTAACAACCCTAAATTCTCAATCTAAATTAGAATGCAAACCAAACTTCCTTACAATTGTAGAAAATTAGTTTTTGTGGATTTCTTTTACAAATACTTCTACTTTCTGCTGCTCCTCCCTCTAACATTGTCTTTTAGCTTTCAAATTTCAAATGTGTCTTGTTTGATCTGTGACTTTCAATTCCTTGGCATCTGCTCATACCTTTACTTTACCTTCTACCACTCCCTTAAAACTGTCTTCTCCAAGGTTACTAAAGGCCCTTTCACTGCCAAAATTCTGACTTTTCTATTTTCCTTTCCACACCCATGACTTTGGAGGTAGCAGAGAAGATAACAAACAGCATATATGTGGCATGCTGGTGAATGTTTTATGACCACTTCTTCAAGGGAGAAAAAGCCTTAATTGGGCCTCTCTGGTGGCGCAGCGGTTGAACGCTGGGTTACGAAGCTCTCCGCGGCCTCTGTAGCGCAGGTTCGATCCCCAGCTGCTCCCTGGCCACCAGAGGAGGGTCCCACATGGCGCGCAGACCTCTCCTGCCGCCCGCTGCTCCCCTCAGCAGTGTACTTTGGTCCTTCTGCCTGCTCTGCTCCCCACTGTGGCTCGGTGAATTCTCTCACCCTCCCGCGCTTCTGACTGTACCCAGTGCTTGTATAGATAAATAAATAAATCTTTAAAAAAAAACCCTTCTTAAAAAAAAAAAAGCAAAAAAAGAAAAAGCCTTAATTTATAGTTTTTGCCAGTTTCCATGGTGTAAATACTCCCAATAGGGATGATTTTAAACCCCCAGTGTACTGTCACTCCCATGAAGTTGAGGTTCTGTGAGCAAGTGTCTCTGTGAATGTGCCAGCCAGCTCCAGCGTACCACTGCGTGTTCTTTCTGGGATGCTGTTAGTCCTCAGCTTTCGCTTCATTTTCTATCACTCAGACTCCAGTTCCTCTGCATTCTTTTATTGCTTATATTTCTTGTAACCCTAAATTGTAGACTCAAGTTGAGGGTTAAAATTTTCACTCTTCTCTCCTGTGACATTTTCATCTACACTCATTTTTTTCATGATCACTTTATAGTAATTGGTGCTAAATCCTGGGAGGACATCTCCCCATTCTAATCAATTATCACCCCTCCTTTACATCAGAGTCTGTAGGGCTAAAGCTAACTGTTGTCTTGCCCTCACCCAAAAAGTACACTTTCTTTCTTACCCTATTAAAAAGTATTAAATGTAAATTATATGCTATATACTTCATAAAGCACTTTGGATACAAGAATTATAAATTATTATCCATATTTATAGATAAAAACTTCAAGCAAATAATTTAATTAACATACTCAAATTTACCCATCCAATAGGGAATGGAAATCAGATAGGAAGTCACGTTTTGGTTTTCTGATACTAAAATCCATCTATTACACAATAGTGCTTCTTAGTCAATGGAGCTGTCATAGTTATCTCATATTTAATTAAAACACTCAAATAATTTTTGCATTTTTTTAGTGTATTGATTGCCAAGTTCTGTTTACAGATAGCAGTGCTTGTGCAAGTATCTACTTCCCTTCTATTCTATAAGTTTCTAAAAACAAAAACCATGCTCTAGCCATCATTTTACTTCTTTCTGTAATAAAATTTCTTAGAGTGGTAGGTTCTCAATCAATCTTGAATTAATAAATGAAATAGTGAACAACAGTATATTTCAAATAGCATTATACGTGTGCTACAATAGTTCCTGTGTCATCTGTTGAGAGCTGCCAATGATGTCGTATATAGCAAATCAGACTTTGCACTAAATGAATATTTAGGTTTAGTTTGCTGCAAAGAAGAACAAAAATGGGATGCAAAATACACTCATATTTTAGTAGAAATCCTGAAGTTTATCATTTCCCTAGTGTTTTCAGCCTGAAGCTGTTATATCCATTTCTAGCCAGCTTATGCTTTACACTCCAGGAGCTCTCCAATGAGTTTAGGGGAACATGCCTCCTTACATCTCTGACTAACTCAGGGGACTCCTGGGATGTCTTTTTTTATACTTTCAGAAGAGTTATTTAGGGCCCAGGACTGAACAATCTAGCCAAATTTCTTGGCATTGCAAGAGATGGCTGCAGTGTTCCGTTATCAGTACAAATTGTCAAATGTGAGTGTGTTCAGTGACCCTCTGCATAAGTGAGTAGGTAGGTGCAGTTCTCCGGAATCTGTAGTTTGCAATTCCTGCATCACCTTCACATATTTCCTGCTCCAGACAGCCCCGAGGGGCTGTTTCAGGATCACGCATGCTTCAGGGTTTTTCTATACATAGCAATGCACAGTGCCCCAGCAAGATACACGATGTGGAGTTTTGCTAACCCCGAAAATTAGTGGGGCCATTTGGGATGCCTCTGACTGTGACAGTATTTTGATTCTGTACAGTAAGGAATGGTCCAAAAATTACCTATCTCTGTGATTCTAAAGTCACATTTGTTTCCTGTGATGCTATGCTATCAACTTGGTACTGAAACTCTCAACTGTTAAGGGACCAAAGTCTTAGAAGCTTCTAGCTGTGAACACCATTAATTTATTTTATTTTATTTTTTTAGGATTCATTTATGTATGCATGCAAGCACTGGGGGTGTATGTCAGAGGTGCAGGGGGTGAGAGGATTCATCAACCAGAGAGAGAGTGGGGAGCATATCCACTGAAATACACTGCTGAGGGGAGCAGCAGGCAAGAGCAGGCAAGAGGTCTGCTACACCATATGTTCAGCTCCCTAGCCAGGGATAAAAGTCATGCTGCAGTGGCTGGCGATAGCTTGATAACACTGAGGCTTTAACCCTGGTACCCCACCAGGGAGGCCCTAAACAGCATTATTTTAAACAATGCGTGACAAATTGAAAAATAATGTTCCAACTAGATGAGCATCAAGAAATTTTAAGTGAATGAAACAGAATATAGGTCTCAACACTTTGTCAGAGGGTTAGGATATTCCCAGTAGAGAATGATTTCCTTGTTTAAGCCTTTTTATAGCTGAACAGCAACAGGCAAAACTGATTCTGGTAAAAAGACTCCATTAATCTGCTTCAACTTGGCTTCCATTGTTATTAGTGGCAACCTGCACTTTGGAGGGCTTGGTTTCACTGTGCATAGTCATATTGCTAATAGATGAAAGAGCACTCTCTTCACATTTTGTCAGTGATTGAAAATAAAATTCTGTATGAATCAAGTTGGAAAGGGTAAGGCATATTTACAAAAATCTGAGATGTTTTTTGTTGCTATATTATGACAGCCTGGTATAATTTTGGTATAATTTTGATAATCATCTTTCATTCTCTACCTTCCAAAACTGAGCTCTGTCAAAAGAGGTGAAGATATGGGTGTTTATGACTCCCCAGGAATGCCAACTTGGACAAATAACATCAAATTATCATCTGATCCTATTGCTTAGCCTTTTCTGTAGATTGAATTGAAACATAATAGAACTCCTTATTTAGGTCTTCATCCTTTTAACTTCAATTGTAGAGTATGTGGAGATATCAGAGGAGGGTGAAAAATTATATCCCAAGGCCCTATTTTGTGTGATATTACTGTTAATGGAGGCTCTATTTTAAGAGAGCAGTTCTGCATAATATTTAGCTCATGGTCTGTGTTTCTACATTTTGCAAGTGATAAAACCACAAATGAATTAGTTTAGTGAGTCCAAATAAGTAGCAAGTAATAAAGTTTATACTCCAAAAATTCCAGTTATAAGTGCATGGTTCATTTTGTTATTTTCCTAGAGAAAATTCATTTTAAGCTGTGTGTGTGTGTGTGTGTGCGCGCGCTACAATTTGTCTTATTTGGTCAGCCTTTGTCTCTATGCTCTCTGAGCTTAGTTGCCTTGGTTACCATTACATACAGGCTTCTATGTGAGGTTCCTCTTTGACGTACATTTATTTCTATGGAAACAATGATGTCATTGGTATGGGTTGGTGCTTAGGGAAAGCATAATCAAGTGTTGAATATTGATCTTTCTTTTGGTCACAAAATGTATCATTAAATTAGTTTTTTTAATTAGAGAACAGTATTTTTGCTTTCCTTTTGACGATCATGAAACTATTATTAGCTTGCAGACTTGCTCAATTAAATGACTTAAAGTATTAAATATATCTCCTTTTGCAGTATCATAAAGTTTAACACAGATGCATGTAACAATAGGCATTTTCTTAAGGTTATTACTTTAACCTTAAAAGTTGCTCAGTGAGTGAAAAATTTATCTCAATAACATTTGTGATCAAAAATATGTGCAAGGAATTTTATATTCACATCTAGCAATGAGCAATGTATAGATGATGGATTAGGCTGAAAAATGTCATACTTGTCATTATTATTTAAAAAATCTCTAGGTTTACAAACACAGAACTGACAGTTATTAAAATATGTTTTCTATAACCTTAAAATAAAACCGTATGTAGTTGGTATTGTGTTTTCTTTGAAGTCTTAGGAGGCTTTTCGATCTTTTTTATTTTTTTTAAGCCTCTGTTTTGCTTCTATACTACTCCAGCCTGATTTCTTTTTTCTTTGTAGATGATGTGGAAACCTGCCTATGATTTCCTCTATACTTGGGGCGCTCACTATGGAAATAGCTACAGAGATATGTTACAAGACCTTCAATCAGCCTTGGACAAAATGAAAAACCCTGTGACCAAGCAATGGCGAGACATAACTGGAGCTTTAATACTAGTAAATTCTTTAGAGGTTTTGAGAGAAGCTGCATTCTCCTCTCCTGAGGAAGTATAGAATTGAAGGGTATGTTTTTTAGAGGAGGGAGATGGTAGGGGATGAGTGTGTGTGTGTGTGTTTGTGTGTAAAAGAATCTCAGAAAAGTATTGCTTATTTTTTTCATATTTGAAAACATATTTTTTCCTCATGAAAGCATAACTTAACCCAAAACACAGGATGGGTTTTATTATCAAACAAATATTATTGTATATATTTCAGATATAAATAGTAGGTTGTTTTGTTGAGGAAGGAAAGAAAAGCCCTCTCTCCCTAAAGTGGTTTTTAATTTCTTTAAGTTAAAACAAATGACTGTTAGAATAATTGCATCACATAGATATCTGGATAAGGCAGAAGCTGTCAGGGTGAACCTGGATGTTTTACAAGGAGATAGGTAGGAAGGGAGGAGAAACCAACACATACTCCGATCAGGCATGGGTTATTATTTTTTATACCTGATCTCTTTTTATTCCTCAGTGGAGTTTGCCAGCATTATTCCCTTTTTCCTTTGACAAGACCAAGCTCAAGGCTGTTTCCAGCGTGAAATAATTTTTCTTTTTGAAAAACCTGATTCTATTTTTTAAAATCATACCACATTGTAGAATAGTAGCAAAGCAAAAAAAAAAAAAAATCTATATTATAACTTGTAGGGAAATGGTCGCTTTTTCATTTTAATTGAAGCTCACTGATCTTTTCCACCATCTCTTGAAAAACTGTCAGAAGGAAAATATCAGCAGACATCATCTATTATCTGCTCCATGAACTGCAGTTTTCACCTTCTTCCTCTAGCATCTTAGGACCTAGCTAACCCTGCCTAACTTGAATCTCTTCTTTAGGGTGTTTGCACAGTCAGCCATTCTTTAACTGTCAGGAATTTTTAAACACCTGATGTATCTCTGTTGAGTGCAACATTCTTAACCACCAAAATCACTGATACCTGTTTGTGTATGTGTTTATGTGCGTGTACTCACACGCTTATGCAAATGTGGTTGTGTGTTTGTATGTGTAACTGTGCTTTATAAAGCTTTTGGAAGACAAAGATTATATAGGAATTTGGGCCAGTATAACTGGCTCAGGTCACAAAGAGTTGGTCCTGTACTTACTCATTTATTCAGTCCTCTAGCTGCCTGCCAGTGTTTATGTGTTTTGTACAATCATTCTTTTATTGTTTCTCAGTTGACAGAGTGTGTGTAGCTGCTCTGTGGCAAGCACATAGGTGATTGAGCTTGATCATAGGGAGAAAAATAACATGATCCCTGAAATGAGCACTTCCAAGTGATGGAGACACACAATAATAAAAAAGTACAGTTGGATATACAGTGACATCTGCAATAACAACTACAGTGGAGAGCTGTGGTGCCAGAAATGTATCTACAGGGGGCATCAAGTGCATCATAGCAGGGCGGGGGTGGTCAAACAGTTTTTCCCTGGGAAAGAAAGGATGAACTGAAGGAGGATCAGGCATTGCCTCTGGTCTGGGAAGGGTAGAAGAGGTAGTTAGTTCACTGCACTGAGCCTTGAGGTAAGAGTAAAGCGGAGGAGATTCAGGGAGCCAGGGGGAAGGGCCTGAAAGAGTGAAGGAGCGAGTGGAGGGAGGAGAGACACCTCCCAAAGATAATGTGGATGAGCTGAATAAGGATTTTTGTTTAGGGATCCTGAATAAAACATGTCCATTTGGCTAAAAAGTAAAAGCAGAATCTTTTTAGAGCTTTTAATACACCCACCCTGGGGTATTTGGTATGCTGGTAAAGGTAATTTGAATTAGGGTTTAAGGCTTTCAATATTTATATTTGATGATAAGAGAACACAGCCTGCCTGAAGAGTTATGCATACACATTCAAGGACGGTATTTATTTTAGTTGAAATTAAATTCAGGGAGAGGGGGGAAAAAATAACAATTTGTAAGTTCAAGACACAATCATTTTTACTGGTGATTTTGCTTTCTTTAGAACATTCTTGGAATCTTAAAAATATGTCAGCAAAACAGAGAATTTCGGGAAGGGGTAGTAAGGAATTAATAACTGGGTTTTTCCAGGCCCCAAGATCTGAAAGGACAGAGATCTTGTTAGCTGATTAGTTTAAGGTTAAATAAATCAAATCAGGTTTATATCAAATCATGTGCTGTGGGGTTGGTTGGGAAATTCAAGAATAGCTTGAAAAAGGCAGTCTATGTAATTTACAGATAAAGCAATAGTTTAAATATTAATACACAAAGATATTTTATAATCTTGTAACAAATCCTTCCAGAGGAATGTTAAACCCATGTGCAAACAGTCTGTTGACATAAATGTATTCTAATATTTCATAAATCATCGCTACTTCTCTGAAATTTTTATTTTCTCCTTATAATGAATTTTCTTAATCAGAAAAGATTAACTCAGTAAGCATAAATTGCCTGTGATTTTTGGCAGTAAATCAAGGGAATTAATAAGGTCCTTAAGTCCCTTCCTTGACATCATTAAAAGCAACAAAAGCCATTAATCTAGAGCTTGTTCAAGCATTTCGGAAGTGGAAAAAGCATAGGCAGTTCTTTCAGTTTCTCAGACTTTTCCTCTAATGATGCATCAAGATGAAATTTTAGTTCAGTGCTCCGCTTGCAATGAAACAATTTTTCTATGTGAGCCACAGATCTGCTTTCTTCTGTTAAAGGCTTTATATGAAAGCCAATTAAGGAGATGTATGTAATAGGGGGTCATTCATTAACTGTTCATATAAATAATGAGTATGCCACACTCTCATGTCCTGTAATGTAGAAAATACCAAGTTTTGAACTTGAGGATGGTTAAGTTTCTAGGAGCAGAATGTGCTACAGTAATGGATGGCATTGTGCTGAGAACAGTCACTGCTGGTAAACAGCTTTGAATATGTGGTATGAACATACAGTAAAGAAAATACATGCAAAATTGCACAATGCTGTAATTAGAAGTTTCAGATCTTGAATTTTCACATTGTGCTACTCTAAGTTGATTTTGTAGTTACAGCACGCAAGTCTGTAACTTCTGTAAACTTCTGTAAGAAGTTTAGTCACTTTTTTTTTCTTACTCATTTTTAATGATTAAGGAATATTTGAGGCAACATAAAGGAAAAGGAGAATAAAGAAAAGTTTTGTTGCTGGAGGCTTTTCTAATTAAAATGGATTTTTTTCTTCATATAAATACATAACTATTCCCCTCTCTTCTATGTGAAGTTTCCTCCCACATGCTACTACTCTATATCTATACATATGATCCCAAAGATCATATGCTGTCCTTATGCTAAGTAGGATTAACCTAAAGACATTCCTCAAACTAAAATAATTGTTGAAAGTTAATTTCCTTCATGCATCTTTTCTTGACCTACACCACAAAATAAAAATTGAATGAATACACAGAAAACTTGAATTTGTAGATATCCAGTTTTGTATTGCTTCTGGTATGTACTGATATTCAATATAATGATTTCACTGAATATTGTAGAAATTTATGACTTTTCATATATATTTTACATTGATTTTCTATTTACATATATCTAGGCTTATGTAATCTAGAAAGTTTTAAACCTAATAACTTTGCAATAATAGTTGCAAACTAAAAATAATAGTTTAGTTTATATATGAGAGAATTAGGATGAAGAGATGAGCATTGGATAATAATTAGTAATATCAAAGCAGAAAATTTCAGAACACTCACTGATGTTATAGTAGTGAATACAATATGAATGGCTTCTGCGAGACACTAATCCAGGAGTTTAGCGGTAGTTTTTAGTTTTTGCTTATTACTTCCTAAGAGATATATTTTTTTAATCAAACCATGTAAATGAATATGTATTGGTTGCCTATTGTCACCATAGCATGTTACCACAAACTCAGTAGCTTAAAACAATCCAGATACATTATTTCATAGTTATGTAGGTCAGAAGTCTGGTAGGCTCAGCAGGTTTCTCTGGTTTGGGTGCTATGGGCTGAAATAAAAGTGCCAGCCAACCTGGGATTTTGCCTGGAGGCTCAGAGGGAGAATCCATTTCCAGGGTCATTCAAGTTGCTGACAGAATTCAGTTCCATGTGGTTAGAGCACGGAGGTCCACATTTCATTGTTGGTTGTTGACTGGAGGTTGTTCTTGGTATCTAAAGTTTGCTTCTGTTCACTGATTTGTGGCCTTTTTCGATCTTTACTTTTTTTTTTTTCCCAGGAAACTTGCTAGTTTTTGACCTTTTTAATTTTTTTTTATTTTCTAACATGGCTAATTTTGGGGGTGTTTTCCACTCAGTGTATCCCCATAGTTCTCCCACCACCACATCATGTGTGATCCATCACCAAAGTCCTTTGTGTTCTTCCCTCCCCTGTTTTAACTCCTCTTCCTCCATATTCTCTGTCGTATGTCTCAGATATATGGTCAGCTTGCAAGTTTTGTCTTTTTTCCTCATCCTTTGCTTAGTTTCTCTATATTCCAAATATGAGTGAAACCCATATGATATTTATCTATTTCCTTTTGACTTATTTTGCTGAGGATTATCCCTTCAGCACCATCATGTGGCCTGAGTTTTTCTTTTTTGATTGTTCCATATATTCCACATCCTCTTGATCCATTCATCTGTGTTGGGGCATTTAGGTTATTTCCATACCTAGGTTATTGTAAATAGTGCTGCAATAAACATAGGCATTAATATTTCCTTTCTGATTAGAGTTTTTGTGTCCTTTGGGTAGATTCTTAGGAATTGAATCACTGGGTCATATGGTGGACCCACTTTTTGTGTTTGAGAACCTCCACACATCTTTCTGTAGTGGCTGGATCAATTTACATTTCTACCAACATAAAAGGGTGTTAAGAGATTTTTGACTTGTTATGAGCCTCCCTGGGTTTCAGCTTTCTCATCAGTAAAACAAGGAGCTTGAACTAGGTAACCTCTAAACTTTCCTTTAGTTTTAAATGTCTATGGCTATATAATGAGTGGGATATTTCATACTTTATTGTTTGTTTTACTATGAGGGAAGAGAATATCAATTAAGGTTAATAATTTAAATACCAATTATGTGAAATAATGTCCCCTATGTGCAAGGCAAAGCCCACATTGCATGCCCACCAAGTTCTTTTATACATACTGGTTTTGCAATATGCACTGTTTTGAATAGTTGGAAACCACCAACTATTCTATACAAACTAGAATCTGATGTATTGGGTTAGAAAGTCAGCAATGGCTTTACTAGGAACTATGCAAATCATATTGCTCCAGTCTCATTGCAAAAAGGCCTTTGATCAGGCAACTGTTACTGCAGAAATTCTCCAACTTCAGCAGCAGCAGGGCCACCTGGAGGGCTTATGAAACACAGACTGCTCACCCCCTCTCCCAAGTTTCTGATTCAGCTGTTTTGGGATGGTGCCCAAGAATTTGCATTTTTAAAAAAGATTTATTTGCTTATGTGTACAAGAACTGGGATTACAGGTCAAAGGTGCAGGGGGTGAAAGAATTCACCAGAGACAGTGTAGGGAACGGAACAGGCAGTTTGACTGAAATACACTGCTAAGGGAAGCAGGGGGCGAGACAGGAGAGGTCTGCTGCCCCATGTGGGTTAGCTCCCTTGCTGGGGATTGACCTGGTGCCACAGTGACTGGCGATAGCTTCCTAGTGCTTCGACTTAACCCTTTGCACCACCAGGGAGGCACCAAGAATTTGCATTTTTGATAAATTCCCAGGTGATGCAGGGCTACTGGTTTAGGAGCCTTACTTGATAACCACTACACTAGTTTCCTTCACCTCTATAGAAATAGGAATCTTTGTTAAACTAGAAAAATTACTTTTAGGTAAGATTTTAAGTCATTCTATTAAAGAAATAGTAGTTCAGGGCCTCCCCTGGTGGCACAGCGGTTGAGCACTGGGCTGCGAAGCTGCCCGCAGCCTCTGCAGCTCTGGTTTGATCCCCAGCCACCAGCGAGGGTCCCACATGGCATGACAGGCCTCTCCTGTCTCTCCCGCCGCTCCCCTCAGCAGTGTATTTCGTCACTCTGCCTGTTCTGTTCCCCGCTCTGGCTCTGGTGAATTCTCTCACCCTCCCACGCTTCTGACTATACCCAGTGCTTGTATAAATAAATAATCTTTAAAAAAAAAAAAAAAAAGAAATAGTAGTTCAATTGTAAAAAGGAACAACAACAAAAACCCCAAACTCACACTACATTACAACTCTATTTATTTATATAAAGTGAAGCTTTTCATAGTGAATTCAAAGTCTGCAAAATAATGATTGGATTATAAAACTGATTAAAATAATTAGACCTCTGTGTCTCATTGGAAGTGTAAACATATTTGAATAAAAATACAAGGAATAATTTGAGGTGTTTATTCAGGGTATAAAAAGGATAGATTACCAACTAGTTGAGTTATTTTAACCATCTGGCACCTGAACAAGCACAGGAAAACCATTCAAACCAAGAGTTAAACAGCAGAGAGTTTTATTGATTGGCCAAGGATTGGAGAAGGGAGCTCATGCTCTAAATGCTAGGGAGTTTTGAGCATGGGGAGAGTGTAATGGGTCTGAAATCAGCAATATTTCAGAGAAATAGACAGGGGTTTCCAAAACTGCATTCAAACCCCTTTTTCTTCCAAGTTTGGTCTTGACTGGATATGTGATGCTACTGGTGGGCATGCTTTTTACTATGGTAATGGGGCTGTAGTTTAACCCTTTCTTCTACATCCACCTTAGCCTCAATCAGTCTCACCCAGTTTTCTGTAGTTTTGTCAGCAAAAAGTTTAACAGGGTAAAGATAAAGGTGAATAAAACAAAGACTAATGTTTGTGGGGCCTGGTGAAAATTCATCTCCACTGTATATTTCCTGTTCCTCATTCTTGAAGGACAATGGGCAAAATTCTGGTAAGGCTGGGCCTTTGGGGGCCCTAGACAGCTGTCTTTCCTTCACTATCTTGCAGTATATCTGGTTTTCACTGGCTTGCAGTCTCAATTGTTCATATCCTTGGATTACTATCCTCTGAAATTTTAATGTAGCATATTATAGTTACAGTGACCATGGAACCCAATGAGGGCCTTCTATTCAGTAAGACTTTAATCAGCTAGGTTTGCGAACAAGGGAGTTAAATTGTTTTGACTGAAAGTGGGTTAGGACAAAGAAATAAGGACTTTACTGAAATTCATTGAGTAGTAACAGGACACTTCATGAAGTATGAAGAAGCTTTTCCTTGATAATTGGAGTCTTGAATTTCTGTTGATGCTGCCCCTTCACCTCTGGGTCGCCCCTTCTTGTTCTCAGTTCACAGCCAGCCTAAGAGCTCAGCTCAAGGTTGTCTATAAACCTTTGTATTTATGTGAAAGCAAGTCTCAGAGAGAAGTTTAGATACATAATTTTTTTCTTTCTTGTACTCTTAGGGTCTGAAAGCAGTTTAAACCTTTAGGCTTGGTTTCAATGATTTTGCAAAATATATTTAATGATGCTCTTGTTTCTGTAAAATATCTTTGGAGAAAGCCGTCTTTTTACAAGTCTATCACTTTTTTTTAATTGAAGTAACATTGCATTATAACATTATCTAAGTTTCAATTTGCATCATTAAGAAGCAACATCTGTATATACTATTACAGTATATCTTGTATTAATATAGTGTACATTACTGTATATGTTACAGGGCAGGGAGAGGGGCACCCCAGACCCCACAAACCTGCCTGCTCTAGATAGGTTCTGCCACCCTCCACATCAACACAAAACATAATGAGACTTTAATAAAAAGGAACTTTAATACAATTAGTAAACAATACAGGAAAGGCAAAGAATATAGTTTCTAAATCAAGCACCCAAAGTTACCCATCTCCTCATGGGTAAGTCCACCCAAGCAGGATTGGTCCAGAGCAAGGCCCCAAAGCCTGCCACAAGTCTAAAGCACCTTTCAGTGGGGACCCACAGAAAAGGATCAGAAACAACCAGACAAGTCTAGGAGGAAAGAGCAAAATCAAAATCAAGACAAAAACCACCATTGTCAGCTTCCTATGAGTCTCATCCACATCTGTTTTGCCCAGTCCACGACTGAAAGGCAAGCACAGTTTCTTCATGTGTCTTTCTGCTCCATATGCCTCCTCCAGGTCTTCTTCTGGGTCTCCATCCTGCTTCCTTCCTTCTCAGTCTCCTTTGTCACTACTTCTCTCCCTGCTCAGCTCCACCCTCCCTTGGGTGGGGCAGGAAACCTGGAACCTCCCCCTTTCCTGGGGACCACCCTGTTACATATATACTGTATTTATTGTAGTATACACAGTATATATTACTGTATATTATGTTTGTATATACTATATATAAGTATAAACTCTAAAAGTCCAATTCTGTCCTTCACCATGCAATTGATCCCTTTTACCCAATTTTCCCACCTCCTCCTCCCCTTTCCATGCTG